TTTTAAAGTAGACAACCCAGGGTATTCAATATGGGGTATGTCCAGTTTTTTTTAGTAGCCACCTAGTCGCAAACACTGGCCAAAGTTAGCATTCATACTTGTATGTGTGTGAAAAAAGTAAAAAACTAAATTTAATGCAAATTTTGGCCAGTGTTTGTGACTAAGTGGCTACTAAAAAAGACTGGACATACCCCATTTGCAATACCTTGGGTTGTCTTCTTTTGCAAATGGTATGTCATCATGGGGGTAATTCTAATTCCTGGGCTACCATACGCTCTCAAAGGCAACGTAACCAACCTGGCCATTTTCAATGTAAAAATATTTGATCCATATGTTTGACCCTGTAACTTTCAAAAACGCTATAAAATCTGTACATGGGGAGTACTGTTATACTCGGGAGACTTTGCTGAACACAAATATTAGTGTTTCAAAACAGGAAACCGTAACACAACAATTATATAATCAGTAAAAGTGCTGTTTGTGTGTGAAAAATGCGAAAAAGGTCACTTTCACTGACAATATCATCGCTGATATGTTTTACTGTTTGTGTTTACTGTTTGTTTATATACTGTTTGTGTGATATGTAATATTTGTGTTCAGCGAAGTCTCCCGAGTAAAACGGTACCCCTCCATGTACAGGTTTTAGGGTGTCATAGAAAGTTACAGGGTACAATACAGTGCTTGCAAATTAAATTCTCTGGACTTTCGGCCTGGGTTGGCAGGCAGGTCCCTCAAATTGAAATTAATAAAATTACTTAATTATGTAAAAATATTACATAAATACGCACGTAGAATTTAAATATATATGCATATTTATATATTTGAAGTCTACATGTATATTTATAGAATTATTTATGTAATTTTGTATATGGACATATGTATATTTCGTATTATTTTTATTTATATATACATAGCTATATATACAATTTCATTCTAAGTGTATTTTGATATAAATATTTATATTTTAATATCAAAATACAGTTAGAATAAAATTTCATATAGATATATAATTTTTTTTACATTTTTATTATTATTTTTAATTTTTTTTATTTACTTTAATCTACTTATTATTTGTATTTTATAATATATATATATATACAATATATATAGTTATTATATATATATATATATATATACATGTGTATTTTTATATTAATATATGTACATATTAATATAAAAATACACTTAGTATGACATTATACACTTATTATGACACATATATATATATATATATATATTTTTTTTTTTAAATTAATATTAAGTTTTATTTTTTTTTATTTTACACTAGCAGGGAGACACATGGACACCTATTGTGACCATGTGATCGCTCAACAGAGGGTCCTAATCCGCCACTGGGAGCACCGCCGATCGCCGCCAGGGGAACGACGGCGATCAGGTAAGTACATTGGACCATTAGGACGGTTCCGGACTGTCATCGGTCGGCAATGCAAAAATGCAGATAACGGTCCTGAACCGTCTTCGGTCCTTAAGATTGTACTTTCATAATTGGTCATTATGTCTTTAAGATTATGATGTTTTGTTATATAAGACTCCAAGTCATGTTTTATATCTTATTTAACATGTGATGCTATTTATTAATTAACTTAATTGGGGTTAAGGGTTACATAAGCACATGTGTTACTTGGTATTCCTTATGCATTATTAAGGCTCTGCGGAGCTGAAATGTCGCACTTTATTTTGTGAGGTGGTGAACCCACTAATAAACTTACCTTCTTTATCCTGGAGTGTTGCCTGTGTTCTTCAGCCTTTGAGACTACATTGGTGGATTTAGCGGTGTCCATCCTTAACACGGAGCACCTCCTTGGTGAAAGGCCGGAACATATTTGTGTGTGTATGTTTGTGTGTCTGTGTGTGTGTATGTGTTAGTGTGTGTATGACTGTGCACGTGTCTGTGTGTTTCTGTTTGTTAATGTGTATGTATAGCTGTGTAAGTATGTATGTGGCAGTGCATATGCAGACATCCCAGCAATCCAACACCAACACAAGACAATACACACTCCTGTATATATAGCAAAAAAACACACCAAAATTTGCCAAAAAAATAAATAAATTACACTCTGCTAATTGAAAGATTTATGCTCTTTTTTGTTTTTGGGAGGATGGGGGGGAGGGTGGGGGAAAGGGTGTGGGAAGGGGGGTTCCATAATGTTGATACACTATGTCAAAGGATTCCACAGAAAACATTTATTGTGAACCCCTGCTCTAGAATGCCAAATCCAGGTACTAAATGCACTTCCAAGGATGAAAAACACAATGGTAATATGTTCCACCAAAAAATGTTTTTTTAGTACAGAATATAGATAGTAATAGAGAATAAAAACACTGGGTACTATAAAAAGAGATGATAAAAAGTATATATAGTGCATACAAAAATCACTCACCAACGTTCAGTAACCCAGAGTAAAAAATATAAATACAATTAAGATAAAGGCAAATGCGTTTCGGCCAGATAGTGAGAACTTGGAATACGGACATTAGCACTTGAAAAAGGGTATCTTTAGCGCACAGCAAAGTTTTTTTTAGGAAAGCAGCAACCATGGGCACCAAACCTGTTCAAATATTTTTGTATAGAAGATTCAGAGATATTAAACAGTTCCAATAATTGTCACCCTAGGGTTACCTCGTTCTGCTCTTTGAGTCATTTTGGATGGATGGCCATTTGTGGGGAGAGTAGCCCCAGTACTAAATTGTCTCCATTTATACACAATTTGTCTAACAGTGCACAGGTTAATAACTAGCTTTTTGATATATAGAAACGGTGACGCCCTGTGTTTCAAGCCTCACTCTATTTTCTTCCATTTACTTCTGTGGTTTCATGTCGTTGCGTCACTTCCGCTTTCCTATTCACATGGCGATTCGTCACTTCCGTGCGTTCCACCTTGCGGTTCACATGTCTTTTCAATATGAAAGGGGTGGAAAAAAAAAAAAAGTGGTGAATCGTCATGTGAATAGGAAACCGGAAGTGACGCAACAACATGAAAACCGTGAAGTAAATAGAAGAAAATAGAGAGGCTTGAAATGCAGGGCGTCACCGTTTCTATGGTGATAGCCCGCGAAAATACAAGCCTGAAAACAATCATCTACCCCTTAGAGGGGCACATATAGCAGGAAAGGACTAAAGGAAATCCACAAAGACTTTTTCACCACATCCAGTTGAGGAAGCCTATACGGTGAAACGCGTCTCTGGAGACACTGTGAGACTTTGATTTACCAGATTTTGATGCCTATATAGTATTGTTTTATATATATATATATATATATATATTTATACTTTTACTGATAATAAATAAAGTTGATAAATTTTTTTATACATACTATTGGCACTTTCCTGCTATTTTGAAAGAAGGAGTGTGGTCCTTAACCACATATACTATTGGATCAGAGCCGATTTGGATGGCTCTGGGTTTGTAAGTACCCTATTTTACCTTGCTTATTAGAAAATATAAGACCTACGTCATTGCACCATATGTGCTCTTTTCTTACTATAGAAGACAAGAGAAAAAAGAACTCCCACCAAAGAAGGGAGAGGGTCCCCTTTACGGACCCTAAGAGCGCTATTATTGAGCTATTACCCTTTAGTTCTATAAATTGTGAGTGGGAATTTTTTCCTTTTCCTTTTTATTTTATTCTGGTTACAGTCCACACTATGTTTTGGTTCTTGTGTTTATGTTTTATAGGAACTACATACTAACCATTGTGATCAGATCTAAAAGAATATTTAAGGTATATACACCTGTATTCCTGTTCTCTATTACATCCAATTACATTTTTACCCTATTATAAGATATAGCGCTTCACCTAAACACTGGTTTCATTTCTATGCTACAAGATAAGACTAAGGTGATATAGCAGCTGACTACACACTGGGTTATTATATTGACAATTTCTTAACTTTAAACTATTCTAATATTAGTGCTGGTACTATCTTTTTTCATAACCTGTCCTTCATACTTACCACCACCAGACCATCAGGGCTGGCTGTGTCCGCCCCTCCATCACCAAAGGTAAGAAGATGGGAGGGGGGATACAGATTGTATTAATATATTTGCAGCACTCCCCACCCCCTACACACAGTACCCCCCCACACACACACAGTACCCCCCCACACACACACACAACACCCCCCACACACAAACACAGCACCCCCCCACACACACACAGCACCCTTCCACACCCACAGCACCACCCAACACCCACAGCACCCCCTCACACACACAAAACCCCACTCACACACACAACCCCCCCACACACACAAATCCCCCCTCTAACACACAGCACCCCTCAGAGACACACATCACTCTACACACACACTCCACACCCGCACACACAAACACATACACTGCACCCCTCAATGCAGTATGTGTGTGTGTTTGTGTGTATGTATTCAGTAGACTGTGTGTGTGTGTGTTCAGCAGTTTGTCTGTATGTGTATTCAGCAGTGTGTGTATTCAGCAGTATGTGTATTTAGCAGTCTGTATGTATTCAGCAGTCTGTGTGTGTATTCAGCAGACCTTGTGTACGTATTCAGCAGTTTGTGTGTATGGTTGTGTGTGTGTATTCAGCACACTGTGTGCATGTATGCAGCGGAATGTGTGTATGTATTCAGCACACTATGTGTGTGTATTCAGCGGACTGTGTGTGTGTATTCAGCGGACTGTGTGTACGTATTCAGCAGTTTGTGTGTGTGTGTATTGGGCAGACTGTGTGCATGTATTCAGCGGACTACGTGTGTGTCGGTGTGTGTATGTATTCAGCAGTCGGTGTGTGAATGTGTTCAGCAGTCGGTGTGTGAATGTGTTCAGCAGTCTGTGTGTATGTATTTTATGTATGTATTGCATTTGTTGGAGATACTAATAAATGTGAATAGTTGTGCAGGCAGGGCCCCAGTACACTGCTTTACCCGGTGGCCCATAATGTTGTTAAGATAGCACTGGTGGGTGGGATGGAGGGCTGTGAGGGAGCACTAACTGACGTGCTATTCTAGCACTGCTCCCTCCGCTGATGCCGCCGGGAGACAGGAAATGATTGACATAATCTCCTGTTTCCCGGCGGCATCAGCGGAGGGAGCAGTGCCTACACCCCCTCACAGTAGTGGGAAGGAATTGGATCCACCAGGAAGGGACCTTGTGTGGACTTCAAACCCACACCTGCACCAAAAAAAATGACACATTATTTATGAGCTGGGAGGGAGAGAGGGATATACTGGGAGGGGGGGGGAGATGCTGAGGGGAGAGAGGGGAAGATGCTGAGGGGAGAGAAGTAGAATCTGGAGGAGAGGAGTAGGAGATGCTGGGGGAGAGGAGGAGGAGATGCTGGGGGAGAAGGGCAGAAGAAAAGAAAAATCTGGGGATAGGGAGGAGGTAATGCTGGGGGGGAGAAAGGGAGAGGAAGAGGAGAATCTAAGGGAGAGGAAGAGGACAATCTGGAGGAGAGGAGATGGAGATTCTGGGGGAGAATGGGATAGAAGGAGGGAGGGATGGATGCTGGGGGGGAGAGGAGGAGATGCTGGGGGGAGAAGGGGAGAGGAAGAGGAGAATCTGGGGGAGAGGAATATGAGAACCTGGGGGAGAGGAAGATGAGAATCTGGAGAGAGAAGATGATTGTGTCAAACCTAGCCACTTTAAGACTTATGGTATAACATCAGAAGGTTGTCTGCTTTTATTGTATATAAGGATGTATTCGTGTGTGTTTGCAATAAAGAGTATTCGTATGCTAACGGCAGAAAGCCGAAACGAATAAGGTACCGAGCGGGAGCCCACACACAGAGGGTCGTGTGGCGCCCATTAACCGATTGCAACTTTGTTGCAATTGGTAGTTAATTGCTTTCCTAGGTGGCCGTCGTTCGGCTACCGACCACGCGGCGGTCGGCCATCTTGGATTCTTTGTTAGCCCAGCGGTGTTTGGTCGTCGAGCGCCTGGAACTAAAATCGGCTACTTGACGGCGTGAACACAGCTGGACTTCCAGGCTGTTCGGGAACCCCGGTCTTTCGGTAGTTTGGTTCCCAATAGGTATTCGGTACTTTTAGGAGAATGTGATATAAAAGTATGTTTCGTGCGGCGTTCGGTTATTTATGCTGGGATCTGAGTGGTACTTTCATGAAGTGTGCGCTCAGACCCCAGCTATCTACCGAACGGTCATTTAAGGGAATCACATGAATAATATTAAAGTTATGGATTTTTGTGTTAAGACCTGGTTCTGCTGTACGGAGGGATAATCCACTTAACAGGATATTCTAGTGGGAGTATCCCTCACATACAGCAGTGCATGGTGGGAGAAATGCTCTGTATATTCAGTTCCCAATGTAGTCGTCTACTGTAATACCCCTGTAAAGTGACTAAGGAAACCCCTTCCATGGGGAATCATATAAATACTGGAGCTTGTGAATAAACTCGTCAGTTGACTCCCAGAACTGTGTTTCGTCCGGGTACTGGGGGATTTGGGATATTGCCTTCTTTTCCAGCGCTTTACTTTGGATTACTTTCTGTACCAGCGGAGATTTTGGGATTTAATATTGCAGCTCCGCTACAATGAGAATCTGAGGGAGAGGAAGATGAGAATCTGGGGGAGAAAAGAAGAGAATCTGGGGGAGAGGAGGAGGAAATGCTGGGGGTAGAGGGGTATGCTGTGGGTAGAGAAGGGAAGATGCTGGGGAAGAGAATAGGAGAATTAATTTGGACAACTGTATGAGTTGTTTTTTCTAAACTTAAACTTCAGTTTTCAGGTTTAATTGCTGTGTTGGCACTTTGAGGAAAAAAAGATTGCAGTTTGGGCACTTGGGCTCAAAAAGGTTCGCCATCACTGGTCTATAGTCTACATCTGTTTGTGTCCAGCTAATACAATAGTTACACCGCAGTGATAGGCCACCACATTGTTTAGTGGAGCACGCGCCGGCCCTGTGTCATTTATGGCAAGAAATTTTAGCAAACAATATTATAACTGTCCATTCTGAATCTAGTCATATTGCTCACTTTTAACACTCTATCATCATCATCATTGAGCTAGCACAGGTGTTTTCAGTTTCTTAAAAACATCTTAATAGTGCCTTAAATGCTATGAAAGGGACTTTTCCACCACCTTGCATATATGAATGGCAAATGGCTAGAATGATTCAGACAGACCTGTAATACTCGTAATTAGCAATCCATCACTCAATATTTCTCCTGCATTTTTTTAACGCTGCCATGTCTGTCTCTGCTTGTATAACATAGTCTGTCACACTTTCACTTATGCCTTTCTAAAGGAATGTTAACTCAGTATGCTAACTGACTATTCAGCTTTCTCTTGCCTGCATACGTCTCTCATTATTCAGAGTGATTGTCTTCCATCATCAATTGCCTCCCTCATTATTAAAAACAGACTCTTGTCGTCCAAACAATGAATTAACTCAACATATGCTTAGTCATTCTTATGTTCTTCCTCATCATCCGGTTCAATCAAGTTTTCCTTAAAGTTCATCAACCGCTGATGTCCTCTGAACATTTTGTCCCATAACTCGTAGTCCTTGTCATCTCTGTTGAAGCACAGCCTACTCCAATGTTTTCCAGCAAGCCTTCTGGGCCCATGACCTGTTGCAATCTGCATGCTGAGGGTAGGATAACAGGGCAAGTGCACACAATAATGGAGGAGCACACCACATATTGGTTTAGCGTTTCATTTCTCCACAATCAGTAGTATAGGAGGTGTCAGTGTTTGTGATTTCAGAGTATGTCTACCTTGCATTAGGTGAGAACCTGTGGGGAATGTCGGTTTATGTGTGTAAATATATAGATGAAATTGTGTATATGTGTAACTGTTTGGGTGTTGTCGTGTGTGTAAATGCAGAGACTGAAAATGTGCATACATTTTAATTTTTGAACTAGTTTGCCTTTTTCTCACAGGTTTATATCTCCTTATATTCTCACATATCTTTCTACCTTATTTCTGCCCATTTGTCTCTCCTCCATTACTCCCCAATGTGTTTCTGCCCAACTAGTTCCTATGTTTATCATTCTACTCATATTCACACTTGTCTATTTTAATCCATCTCTCTCCTGCTTGTCTATTAACCATCCTTCCCTCACTGGTGTCTCTCACCTAGCCTTTGCTATAACTGTCACTCATGCTCTGCACACACATCTCCATACTTGTATATATCGCTCATTTCCCGTCACCAATTCTAGTTTATCCTGTATCCCATTTGTCTCTCCTTATATCAATACTTTCCAAACTGTCTCCCCCTACTTCTAGCTCAACTGTCTCTCTTTTGTATCCACACATCTCTCACTTATCCCATCTCCCCAATTTCTAACCACTGTTGTATCCCCATTATCCCCCTGTGCTTCCCCCAGTTCTAATATCTGTTGTCTCTATTCCACCACCTTCCTCAAGTATTACCTCTTTTGTATCTCCATTATTCCCCTCTCCCTCCTCCATTTCTAGCCTCTATTAGCCACATGACACTTACTTTATCACCAAAGTCCTTTTGTCACACTGTCTCACAATCTCTATTTCCCTCATACTGTGCTTTCATCTCACCCAAAATGTGTCCATATTATTAACTTACCATTTTGTGCTGGCCAGGAGTGCTAACTGTTAACCTTGCTGTGCACTTCCTCGCAGAGCTCCTCAGTGGCAGGCAGCCATTCTCTGTGGGAGTAGAGAGACAGAGCATAACTCTGCCTCCCATGACTCCCTCTGCACCGGGAAACTCCTGCAGGCAGTGTGAAGTCACAAATCCCCTGTGTGCACTCTCTGCAGGGAAGACACGGCAGTGAGAGCTCATCTAGTCTTCTATCTCCAAGATGAGAGGAGAGTCCTGGCACCTTGCAATCTCTAAAACAGCCTGCCTGTCAGTAGAACTTGCAAGCTCTGTCGGCCCCATGGCACCCTGTGCGGCCGAACAGCTCGCACACCCCTAAGGCCGGCCTTGTGTACAGTAAGGGTTTATTAACCCTTACACTACTGGTGGGCCACAAGGGAAGGGGGGCCCGATGGCAGTATAGTGCTAAGAATACAGATTTGTATTCCTACTACTACAGTTCCCATTTAACTTTATTTAATTGCTTTGGCACTTTGCTCTTTCTCATTCAATCAGATATTTGCTGTAGCTGCTATTTTCATAGCTACAGTCATAGGTTTTTATATATCTTGAAAAAAAAGGTTTTCATATTTAAACCTTTTCCTCATTTTCTAACACACCCATCTCTGATTAGTGATCCAACATTTTTTCTTCTTTGTGTTTTTAGGATTCATATACAAAGTGATGTCTCCCACTTCTACACTACTACCACATTATGCGGATGCTCAGCACGAGGCATAAAGTGACCTTTTTTTTGAGGATTTATAATGGCTTTTGTTTTGCATGGATTTAGAACAGTGACAAGTTTTATGCAGTTCAGCTACCTTCAATAGCATTATTTTGCAAGAGAGAATGAAGAAAGTAGGGGCTTGAACAGCATATATTTTTGGATATATTAGTTTTCTGGCAAAATTCTTTGTAAGCTTGACGGAGATGTGTTTGTACTTTAGAAATAATCTTGACAAATTTTTTTTTTTAAATACGCATCATGTATTAAAGGCATAATTCAAATGCATCAAGATGGCACAATGACTTTATATAGACATACGTTTTCTGGGATAGTCCGATATTGTTGGGCACTTTTCCAGTAAAAATAGGTCCTGCAGATTTCAAAATGCTTTAGCGGGCTTGGTACAAGGACAATGCATAGAGCGCTTCAGCAGCTCTCTGTGTATGGTCTGCTTGACGAGGCAGGCTGTCAGTCATCCTGGCCATACACCATAATGCCTTGTGCATCCTGCTCTCTTTATTGCCCAGCTCTGTCTTGGAATATTGACAGGTACATATTGGCCACTCTACATATACACTATAATAAAACATAATGAATATGTTCAGTAGAAAAAGTAAAACACTTTCAGAAGATACAAAATGGCTTCATAGAATTGAATGAATTCTAATTAAGCTCCAAATATTTTATTATGTCAAATATGTTATTCTAAAGGAACACACAAAGACAATAAATCTTTAATTTAAAATGACATGGTTGGCTCATCATAGCCAGTGATTCAAAAACA